TTGGAGAATTTACCAAGGCTCATTTGTGCTCGTGTCTAATTTTCTGTTGTCAATACCAGCTACAGTGAGATTTGTTCCAGTTCACTCCGAGCCCTGTGAGTACAGAGCAGTCTCCAAGTCACCTTCCATGCTCGTTGGTCAGTCTCAAGGGTCTGTTTCTTGTCCTCTTCAATCATTTCTTTTTGGGGGGGCAGGGGGCTGTGAATTTTAGCTAAGTGCTCTACAACTGAATTGTATCCCTAGGCTCCCTTCCGTTCTGCCCTTATGACGGCTGGGCACTTCTTTTGTGATAAAGACACTGGGGCATTATGAAAACGCGGCAGCAAGGATTAGCTGAACACGGCGTGCTGCTGGTTGAGGCTGATTCATGACACCCTTCGCTTCCCGACTGCTTTATCTCTACAGCTTCTGTCAGCGTCGTACTGGTGGTTTAAAAATTTTTTTTGGCATTTCCACATTTGGTCATAGATATCGTGTGCATATATATTTTTATTTTCAAGGAAACTTGAATTGGTTCAGTAGAGAGCACACTTTAAATTCTACAACTCTGTTCATTCTTTGAGTTGACGCTCCCGCTTAAGCCACGCATGCTGGCCTACGTCTCAACAGTTGAGTGTGTCTGAATGGAGTAGCGTCTTCTCAGCACAGCCTCAGGGAGCTACAAGCATCCAGTCTTCCTGATGATGGCTTGTTCACACGTTTTAGCGGGCATTGCTGTCTGACCAGAATCCCGAAGGTTGAAATAAGTATTTGGCTAGAGGGTAAATAAATAAGCCCTAGGAGTTGGCTAATGGGCAGTCACTGCCAAGGGCACGGCACCAGGAAAGAGTGTAGCTTTGGTGACGGTCTTTCCAGGGGGCCTGTGAGGTTGGGCTCCAAACAGAAGGCTGTCAGTGGCGTGGTGTGTATGTCACGAGCCTGCCCTAGTTTCTGGAAGACGTGTAGGTAGAGAGACGGGAGTCTGGGTAGCACGGCGTCGTTCCCACTTCCTTCTGGGCTGCCATGTGCGCACATTCGTGTAACTGGAGCCAGCAGTGCTGGCCCAGAGTTGCGCTGCTGCTTGGAGGAGGGCAGCCTTTGCAGCTGGTGGAAAACCCATGGGTACTGTTTGGACCAGCTGGGTTACCAGGGCTCTTCTCAGCAGTGAGATCAAAGGACCAGTGGGGAAGACAGCAAGTTCCCTCTTTAAAAAATTTCCCTGAGCTTATAATTTGCTTTTCACAACAAGGAGAAGCTGTTTACTCTCTGCCCAGCCTTTAAAAAAATTTTTCCCTCGTGAGTAATTTTTTCAAACACAAACATGGCTGCTCTGTAGAGCGTGCCATGATGCCAGTGGGCTGGGGAGAGGGCTGGGACAGCATCCTGTAAGGGCTGCCTGGACTCAGTGCCTTTGCATCTTCCCGAAGCCACTCAAGAGTGCCGGTCTGTGACGTGGCTCCCGAAGCCTCGGCAAGCTGCTCTGAGATCTCCTCGATGCCAGCCGACAGGCTGTCTCCTGTCGGGAGAGGGCAGTGTAGGGTCTTCATGTTTCTTTGTGTGGAATTCTGTGGAATGGCAGCGTGGCAGCGTCTGGTCCATTGCTCTGTTCACTCGGCTCACGTGCCGGAACAGCAAAGCGCTCGCTCAGGTGTGTGCTCTCGCGCTCTCTCACGGCCTAGAGGCCAGAAGTCCTAGACTGAAGTGTGACAGTACGGTGCCATTCCTTGGAGGTCCCCAGGGCAGGCCTTCCCCAGGCCTCAGCTTCTTGGAGAACGTGCAGTGCCTTGACCTCTGGTGGGAAGACTTTGGCTGTACATGGTGTTCTCCGCGTGCTGTGCGCGTCTGCCTGACGGGTCTCCCTTAACGGCTCCAGTTATTAGGATTAGTGACCCCCACTCCACTGTGGCTTCTGCAGGGACCCTATGCTACTCAATAGGGTGGAACTTCAAGACTGTAATGTATGCACTTGAGGGCAGGGAACTCACCCAATACAAGGAAGTAGCTTGCCCTTTTTGTTAAAAAATGCGGTGGTGGCGCACGCCTTTAATCCCAGCACTCGTGAGGCAGAGGCAGGCGGATCTCTGTGAGTTCGAGGCCAGGCTGGACCAACAGCCTCCAAAACAATACAGAGAAACCCTGTCTCATAAAAACCAAAAAAAAAAAAAAAATTTGGTTCTAGGGTGGGTTTTGTTGTTGTTGTTTTGGTTTTTTTGTTTGTTTTGAGAATTCTGTGAAACCCTAGGATATGGAACTAGCAAAACAAGAGACCACCCCACTAGAAATGAGCAATTCGTCTTACTTTACCTCATGCTTTATAATCTCCAACTGCAAGGTGGAAGAGGACAGGGTAGACCATGAGTCATTTGAAAATGGCTGTCAAGGACAAAATGGAGGCCAAGAGTGTCTCCTTATTTCAAGCACCAGGCGGGCTTAGATTCAGCGGAGGCCTTTTTTTCCCTCAGCCCGTGCTGCAGGATCTCTGGGAAAGCTGGACGACACCAGCCCAGCTATAAAAATGCCAGGAATGGGCCGACCACGGGCTCTGCTGCCTCTCCCCACCAGGGAAGAGCCACTGCCCTTAGTTATTGGGAGTCAGGGGCGGACAGGCTTTCTTTGTTCTCAGAGAGAACAGACGTTCCCAGACTTAAGGGGCAGTGAGCACGCTGGTACTCTTTCCCCATTTGTGCTGAGAGCTTGTGGGCCTGTCTGGGGTCCTCAGGTTTGATGCCGGGTTGTCCGTCTCATGTCACCGTGATGCTGTGGCTGTGGCTCCTGTCAGCTTCCCTCTGGAGAGCTGGCTCTATTGAAGACCGTTTCAGCAAGGGCACTTCTGTTACTGTCTGTCTCTTCTTGCAAAACTGAAGCCTACAAGGAGGTTTCTTGGAAACTAGATTTAGGAAGTGTCACTCTGTTGAACAAGTCATTTGAGTTTTCCTGGGATTCAGTTGAACACTCATCCAAAATAATTCGGTTCTTTATTGAAATCTTTATCCTCTCTGGTATTTAGATGTAATTATCCTCCCGCCCCCCCACACCTGAAAAACTCACTCCTTCTTTTCTCTTACTTGTCTTTTCTGGGTAATGAAAGCTTTATAAATGAAGCTAACATCTTCCTGGATGCTTAATTTTTCCCCTTTAGGTTTCCTTTTCCGGTGTATTCCATTCTTAGTTCCTAGGTGGCCTGTTTTCCAGTTGGTTCCTGTCCAGCAGGCTGTGACTCTGTTTGCTGTACTCCCGAGTGCCCGAGTTGTTCTCTGAGTAACCTGCTATGTGTTCCAAAGGCAACAGTGCAGAGTGAACTGTGCCCTGCTCCCATGTCTCACTTAGAGCCCATCCTCTCTCCCACGCTGTTTTTTCAGGCTTCTCTGCTTCACCTAGAAGACGGTGGGATGGGGCTCAACTCATGTAGCAGAGACTGAAAATGGAATGCTGAGTTGTGAGCCGTATCTGCGGCAATACCCAACACACCCCGTGCAGTGATCATTCTTTTGTGTTTGCTGACAGCCAGTTCTGGCAAGAGTTTTAATCCAGGGCCTCCTGGAATCTTGAGTTTGCTCTAGTCTCTATAGCTCATCCTGAGCCTTATCCAAACTTCTTTCTCCCTCATTCCTTCCTCAAAAGGAAGGACCAATGTTTTCTTTCCATATTGGGTCATCCATAGCATGTTCTAGAAATGGGAGGTTTTGCAAAAACACAGCAAGAAAACTATTGTGTCTCCTTCCACTGCCTGTGGGAGTTTCTGGTCTTCAGTGGTCAGATGAAATGCTTTTCACATCCTCTCAGAAATCTTTTGTGGGTGGTTTCCATGGCTTTATTATGGAGAAAAACCACTTGATTTTGTCTGTTGTTGGCATGTGACCTTTCGCATTGTGCCTCAAATGACTTTATTATGGTCAGCATACAGGGTGCCCTCGCTCTGCTCTGTCAGTCGGTAGGTGTCCCACAGACAAATGAACAGCATCACTGTTATTCTTATCCTGAGTAGAATTAATTGTCAAGGTCCTCACTGGCCTCGTTTTGTAAAAGGATGAGTGTGAAGTGCCCATTGTAAGTGCACACTCAGTCTTGCCCGCTCTGTTAACGTCAGATGGCGTACTCTGCTGCAAAACGTGAAGCACGCAAGATCGAGCCCCTTCCTGCCCTTTAATAAGTCACATTTCTTGGTGACTTTATAAAGATGAAAAGGACATGACAACGTTCTGAACCAGGGAGACATCACCTTAGATGTTCTCAAAGACAAGGGCACACGGAAATAAAGAAGCTTGCTCACCCTGAACACTATTTCCCAAGGGAAGTCACCAAATCAGTCTAGAGTCAGCACGGAGAAATGAGTGCGTCGAGTCCTGCATGGGTTTCTTATTCCAAGTTAGACACGGAGGAGGCCAAGATCCAGCCTCAGAGAACCAAGGGCAGAAGCTGCTTCCTGGAGCTCACTCCTTCCTCTGAGAAGCTAAGTTTCTCAGTCTCAGGCGGGCGAGCCAGGGCCCTCTTGCTTGGGGATGTGTGATGTGGGTACTTTGCTTTTCTTTGAGCCATGGGCCTCTCTCACCTGTGAAATGGGAGTGCAACACCCATGCCGGGTGGAAAAAACAAATGACTGCCTGATGCACAGTGTTCAGAGTGACAGCTATCCCCACCCCCCAAACACCCTTTTCCTGCTCTCCTCTGGTCCTTCTGGAGTTCAGACAGCGCCGTCTCTGCCCTCTCCTGCAGAGGACAGAGATACTTCACTTAGGGTTCCTGCAGCCAATCCTGTCTTCCTGCTTAGGGCACAAGTGAGGTCCAAGGCCGGATTCTGAGGTACCCATCCAGCCCAGTCCCTCCTTTCTCCTGACTGTGGTGCCCGCCCAATGCCTGATCAGGGCTGTTGGCTGGGGACAGCAGGGAGTCGCTGCACCAAGCTACTGCAGGCATCAGCGCAATCCCCCATGCGGGCGTCTGAAACCCTGATGTGGAGGGGGTGTCCCTGCTGCATCTGGCCTCCATCCTCGACAGAATCCCTGACGGGGGCGGTGGTGTGGGTCCCAGCCAGTGTCGCAGAGGTGGGGAGGGCAAGGGCAGAGCCTGAGCTCCAGTCCCTCCTTCTCCTCCCTGGTCCTCCGTTGCTAAGCAGTTTCTATGGCAGCAGCATCCTCAGACTCAACTTTCACCCTCATTTAGAGCCAATTAAGGTAAAATAGTGAGGGGAGGGGGCAGAGTGGCAACGTAGCTGGGAGGCAGGGAAGCTCCTGGAGGCTGCGGGCGAAGCTTTACTCCGTGAGCCTCACAGGCACAGACACAGACACAGCTGCAGTCCCCTCGCTGGCTCGCTGTGCTGCAGCCTGCTGACGAGGCTGAGCAGTCACACTGGAGACCTCAGGACCCTTGGCCAGCCCAGGAGATCGCGCTCCTTCCCACCGTCCACTCCAGCCTGGCCTGCCGGCCCCAGCCTCTGGCATCCTGTCGTGAGCCGATTCTCCCGCGGCTGCTTGGTGGCCGTGCTTGTTTCCTTTCTTACTACCAGCGCTTGATTGGGGGAGAAGGAAAGTTTAGGAGATGCCGATTGCACAGCTGCTGGAATTATGGAAGAAGATCGAGGTGGAACCCATGGAGATCGAGGTGAGTTCAGAAGAGGGAAGGGTGCAGTGTCCCACACTGCCCCCTCTGCACTGTGGCCAATGGACTCGGACCCGATAGAAAGATTCACAGTAGTCGAGTGACTGTCAGCTCAGCGTGGCAGAGATGTGTCCATGTTTCACACACGGGGCCACATAGACATGTGTGTGTGTGTGCCTGGGCAGCGTGTGCATGTGTGTGTGTGTGTGTGTGTGTGTGTGTGTGTGTGAGTGCGTGCGGGAAACAAGCTGCTCAGAGCCACCTTCAGCACGCTCCCCGCAGTGTGCCTCCTGCTCTGAAGTACTGCTTTTGTCAACTAGTTGGCACCAGTTTGCTTTGTTGTCAACAAGTGGTCTGGATCATGGTCTAGATCCCTGTTTGCTGCAGAGATCCACCAGCTGTGCTACAAGGAACAGGAAGCAGAGGCAGCACTGTCCTGCAGGGTCATGCCCTCAGGGAGAGGGGGCCACTAGAAAGGAAAGCTGAGTGTCTTAGGGCTGAGACCGCTTCCCCCTCGGGTTGTGGGAGCCTCTGTTGCCAGGAATTTCATTTGCTCCGTTTTTGGTCTTCGTGATCTTCAGACCTTTTCCTGAGAGGGAAGTTTTCCAAAGTTGTTAAGATTGACTGCATCCTTAGATGTTCAGGCACTGGGTTGAGACTATCCAAAATTTCAGTTCAAAATGGCTAATTTTTATAGGCTCCTAGATACCACAACCCGAGGCTTGATTTCTGCCTCATCTAACCTGACACGTATGAGTTCTGTGCTGACTCTCATAGTGACAAGGAGACAGTCATAAAAACAAATCTTTAAACTGAATGACTTCTGCTTCAGAAGACAGCTTATTTGGTGTTTTATTTAAGACTTTCTCGGGTTTGTAAGACTTTTCCGTGGGTGAAGCAGTTTGCTGTCAAGCCTGATGACCTGAATTCTTAAACTCGTGGGGTAATAGCAAAGAAGTGATCGGTGAAAGTTGCCCTCTGACTTCTACACATACACACACACACACACACACACACACACACACACACACACACACGGCTAGGGAGAGAGGCAGACACACACACACACACACACACACACACACACGGCTAGGGAGAGAGGCAGACACACACAGAGTCAGACAGAGACAGAGACTGACAGACAAAGAGAGACAGAACCCAAATAAATAAGTCTAAATTTTTAAGTGTTTGGAATAGGTGTTGGTATTACGTGGGGAGGAGGGTCTTTCGCAGATGCTGTGTGGTACATCCTGTAGCTAGAGCAGTCTGAGTATTGGTGCAAGGGAGTTGCCTTGGTGAGCGAGGATGGCACTCGGCTCTGCCACCGCCAGTTACTCTGCTGGAACTTGCTGCTGCCTGGCAGTTGGAGACAAAGCCACTCATTCCCCAGGTGACAACTCAAGTCTCTATTTTTTTTCCTTGAGAGGTATTTGATTCTTCTAAAAAAAAATCAACTACTGAATGAACCAAAGATGAGAGCAGATATTTCCTTGTTTCCTGCAGCTGACCCCATTGTTTGTGGTTTGGCGTCCCTCCGCCTGGCTTCTTGAGCAGAGAGACCTGGGCTGGTGGGGAGAGGTGGGAATGGAGGAGATGTTGAGAGCGGCTGGGACTCAGAGTCTGGCGCTATCGCCAGGGCAGGGGCTCCTAAGATCAGCTTGCGTTAGAAGTACTTCTGAAGCAGGACCAGGAATAGACTAGCCACAGGCAGACTCATGTTATTATAAAGATACATCATGACCCAAGAACACTTGCAAATCTGGAGTTGACAGCGCCTGCTCTGCCCTGCCTCCCTGCAGGGGAGAGGATTGTGAGTGTCTGTGGTTAGTCTCCCTGACACTGTGAGGAGACCCAGATGGGCTAAATAGCCTTGAAAGAAGATGCTTCCTCAGGCTTTCTGGTGAGTTTTTCAGAAGAGCAAACTTGAGGAGTAGGCAGAGTTAGGATGGGGCACTGCATTGTCAGTGACCTGGAACCAAGAAAAACTGGAGTTTCCACTGAAGGCACAAAGCCGACATCCTGGAAGTGTGACATTTCCAGCTGTTGAGGAACCTTCTATGTCTTCAAGTGTGATGTCCCTGGTCACAGCATACCTAAGCTGACTTTATTGTCTTGTTTTGCCCATGTTATGTCCTGTGCTGCTAAAATAATAACTCACAGATGGTGGGCACAGCTGGGTGGGACACACTTGGAATCTGACCTTGCATGGATTGGGATATCTGTGGAGCACAGTTAACATTGCTGGCTGGAAATCAGTGCTCCTGGATTCTTCTTTTAGCCTAACACGGCTACACTTATTTTCTTCTTCTCAGCTGTTCTCTTGTCCACAGTTCTAAGAAACCTAGGAATCTGAGGTCAACTGAAGCAAAATGTGGTATATTCTCTATAAAAACAAACAAACAAACCAAAAACAAAACAGCAATTTTCCAGCAGAGACTAGGGGAAACTCATTGGCTATTCAAGGAGACTAATTGAATACTATGAATTGGTTTTGGATATTTTGGGTGATAATTTACCTATGAGTGGGGTAAGAAAACATGGTAATTAAAAATCGGAGTTTCTAGAGAGCCCCTGAAGAGTCTAGTATGGAGGGGAAATAAGGGTGTTCTGTGAGTTGTACTCACTGCAGAACTCTAGGGTGCCTGTCCTCAGCAGGGTTCAATGGCCACAGCCTTGCTCTGGAGAGAAGGCAAGGAGCGACAGGAGAGCCAGTGTGAGGCCATCTGTGAGGTTTCGCTGACTCATTTTAATCTTAGTTTACAGGAGCCAAGTGTGAGCATTCTGGGATGTCACAGTGCATTAGAAAAAAAGCAAAATTTTGGTTTTCAAACGATACGTATCTACCATGATTCCCTGGTGACTCAGTCAAGCTAGTGTGGTTTCTAACGCAGCATGGTTGCTGGCTTAGCAATCGTAGTGATGTCAGCAGCTAATCCAGAGCATCAGAGCACTCTAGAGCTAGTGATAGGCGGGAATGTTCCAGTGAGCTCTCTCTGAATCTCAAGGTGGAAGGGGCTGCTGGCTTAGCAATCGTAGTGATGTCAGCAGCTAACCCAGAGCATCAGAGCACACTAGAGCTAGTGATAGGCAGGAATGTTCCAGTGAGCTCTCTCTGAATCTCAAGGTGGAAGGGGCTGCCACCTTTCTGAAGTCTGGAAGCAGGTACCTGAACAGTTTCCCCCGCTATTGCATAGTAAGCAAAGATGCAGTCCTGGCCTCCTGTTTAACCCCTGAGCTACACAGATGTTGTTTATGCCTTTGTGAGCCCAGAACTTTACTGTCTATAATTTAACTCTTCCAAGCTGGTCTTGGTGGCACATACCTGTAATCCCCAAACCCAGGAGGCAGAGGCGGGAAGACTGCTGTGAGACTAGACATGTTTATATAGCAAATTTCAGGCAGCTAGTTTCCACAAGACCTTTCTGAAAAACAAAACAAAACAAAAAAACAAACAAACAAAAAACCCCTAAACCCACAAAAATCCAGTTCCTCTTCCAGAATTAACATGAGACTGTTTTGTTCTATTCAAATAGGAATGATTGCAGATTCATTTGCTGTCTGTCTGTCTGTGTCCATCCTCACCAAACTGTGTCTGTCTGTCTGTGTCCATCCTCACCAGACTGTGTCTGTCTGTCTGTGTCCATCCTCACCAGACTGATATTTGAGTTTCATGCAAGCTCGTCTCCTGCCTCTTGCTGGCTGAAGGCTGTGTAAACGTCCCCTCTTTTGGGCTGTGCTGGAGGTTACCTACTTCACTGATTCAGCAGTTTGTGACTTTAGACTCGAGTACTCACTGCCTGGGTGTAAAACCCCTGTCTCCAATACAGGATACCCCACAGTTACAGGACTGTTCGGGTGCACGGGATCCATGATACAGACTCCACCTCCCGCCAAGCTAGTTACGATTGTGCTGATGATGCGTGTGAAGCTACCGACCCAAATTCTGAGATGCTAACCATATCGACCTATGTCTCTGTTTTCAGACCGCAGAGGAGGAACTCAGCCTGGACGTAGAGCCCACCCCGGAAGATGTCACAGAAGAAGTAACTATGCCCTTTTTTTTTTTTTAATAACTGGGTTGTTTGTGGCTAAAAGGTAGAATAGAGAGGTATCTGGAAGTTTAAAGTAATGGCCTGTGAGTAGTCATCTTAGTGAGATGCGTGCCAACCTGCAAATGTAGACATGTATTGTGTGAGTCTTTTGTTAGTGTGTCCCTTAAAAGAGACAGTGAGGACAAACACAAGGCAAGGGGAGTCTTGGTCTCAGGAGAGAGTACTGGCTTGCTGCTGACAGTTAAGGTAGGGAGAGAAATACTGGCAGGGCTACAGGAGTATAGGAAATGACTCTGCCTGCTGGGGATTATGTAACACAGCTCTTGGAAGGCTTTGTGTGTGTGTGCAAGCAAGCCCCAGGATCCTGGCAAGTGGCTTCGCCTGTGGGGAGTTGCCTTTCCAGAGGCGTGGGAGAAGATGAGGCCCGGATGGGGAGGGTTGAGGGGGCAATGCCACCAGGCCAGGGAAGAGTAGGACAGGAAAATGAGGCTGAGCGCAAAGAAGAGTGGCGGCTGTCTCTGGGGGCTGGCGCCCTGGGGTGAAACTCAGAGAGCAAGGAAAGCATGGCTGTGACTAGCTGTGTCTTTCTGCTTCTGTGCTGCCCAGGAGCCTGCTATCCAGACAGCGGGGACCTGGCTTAGACCTCAGCACAGTGGCAGTTTCCCAGCTACACCGGTGACGTAGAGGCCAGAAAGACGTTAACAGTTGGGGGTCAACCTTATATCCTACACGTAAAAAAAATAAAGAAATCCTGTTCAAGGTAGCTGTGGCTGTGGAAGGTTGGCAAAACCAGCAGGACCACGAAGCACTGTCAGTGTCCTCGGCCAGGGGCCGCTCGCTGGGAAACACAGCTGCTGTCGGCTTTATCGTAGCATGGGCGAACTGGATTGGTCGGCATTGCTGGCCAGCTCACAGCCTGAGAACTGCCTTTGCTGCATCCTAACCTGTGCATGGAGGTGCAGATGTCTGCCCGGGGCCTCCAGGTCGTAGGATCACATGAAGCAGCCTATTGGTCAGTTAGGGAAATGTCGTTAATCTGCCTCACCTTTGGCTGGCTACCTTCCGTTCTGCTTCAGGGTTTCGGAGCTCAGCTCTCTCCAGAGCCTTGAAGTGATCTGAGTTTGGACAGAATATCGCTTGGTTGTGAGCCTTAGCTTCCCTGGATAGCAAGCATAGCTCTAGGCACAGCAGAGGTTAATGCAGCATGAGCTAGGGGTTTTCCAGAGAAGATGCATATTTCATTGGATCCTTGTCAGGTTGCAGGGCAACAAAGGGAGGTTTATCCTCCACTAAAATATCTGGGCCCAGGACTCATGAGGCCCCAGCTATCCCTTTAACACGGCCTTGCCACACTGTGGTGAAAGCTCTGCCTCTGGGAACCTCCCTGTATGCACGTAGCATAGAAGGTAGGGAGAGACAAGGCTGCCTGTGGTTTAGATGACCCACATTAGCCTGCTTCTTGCAGGAGCGAGTGTGAGCTTTCTCTCTGGGATGTCACAATGCATCAGCGAAAGGAACGGAGTTGGCTTCTGGAGACAGTGTAGGTGTGGCAGGCGACTGCTCATTTCGGAGCCTCGTGTGGAGCGATAAGATCGGGCATCATGATGTGTGAGTTAGTTCATTTGAGTTGCTTCAGCAAAACATCAGCAGATCAGTAGCTCACAAATGACATATCCTGTCCCACAGTTCTGGAGGTCCATGGTCTTCCTGCCTCAGCTTCTGTAGTGCTGGGATTATAGCCTCCTGCCACCACAGACTTGGTCTTAACACTTCTTGTGGGAATCTAGACGCGCGGATCTACCTGTATTGCAATTGACACACTCAGCTTTTGTGCAAGTTGTTTCCATGATGGAAATGAGGTGTGGAAATGATTTCCTGATGGCTGCCTAGGCTGGATGATAGCAAATCAGAACCTAAAAGTCTGTAATAAATAAAGGAGAGCTCCAAACACAACTCAGGGGTGTGTGTAGGATGTAACACTGACACTTGGATACATCCATGTTGTTTGTGGGTGGGCTGGCAATTACTGGGGAAGTCACTTGTTCACTTCAAGTTTCTGATGGACAGTATTGAAAGACATCATGTAGCTCCCCATCGTCCCTGCAGACCGATGCATTTGACATTCTGTGTGGTTGGCTGCTGCTTGTCAGAACCATGTAATTCTTTTCCCATCCGTGGCCTTGAGAACACCATCTGCAAGGTTTTCTAAAGCGAAGGACTTAACGGCTACCAAAAGTTTCTCCTTTGCCAGTGAACACGAGATACTAAGAGATGGCTATCTGCTTGTGGAAAAAAATAATCAAAAATCATGGCTGCAGGCGAAGCGCCGTGCTTGCCCTAGAGAGTGTTGTGGGGACATTGGAACTGTTCTGCCTTGGGATGACCTTAATCGAGGTGGCTGCTTTAAAAATACTATTTGAGACAGGATCTCACTATGTAACCTTGGCTGGTCTGGATCTCACTGTGTAGCCCAGGTGGGACGCAGATTTACAGAGATCTGCCTGCTTCTGTCTCCCTGTGCTGGGAAGGAAGTCGAGTACCACCACACCTGACCTTAGTTTTATTTTTAACAACATGCATGCATGCATGTCAGTGTGTGGGGTTGTTCATGTGAGTGCAGTTTTCACAGGTGCCAGAAGAGGGAGTCAGATCCTCCGGAGCAGGAGTTACCGGTGGTTGTGAGCCACCAGGCCAGAGTGCTGGAAACCCAACTCTGATTCTCTCTAGGAGCAGTATGCTGTCTCACCTGCCAAACTAGCTCTCCAACCCCAGGAGGCTTTTTAAAATGGAGAATTTTTCTTCTAAAGTATAGAGCCTGTTGGACGTTTCATGTCAACATTTCTCTATGTAATCTTTGTCTAGCTGTGTCAGGTGCCGTGGCTCTGCCCAATTTCTGGAAAAAATGAGCCCCAGGGAAGTTCCAATATAAAGAGTGAAAATAGGTCAAGAGGTCTGCTTCTGAATTTGAGAGTTAGCACAACTTGTTTTCCCTTCAGTGTTGTCGAGGGAAAGACTTTCTTTCTAGAGAAATTGGGTTCCACGTGGGGAGTTTGTGTTATAAACTCCTAGGAGGGAAGCCTTACCCTGATTTCGTGTGGTACACACAAAGTATCGATTGTACCCTAAACAGCAGCTCTGAGCGCTCTGTGTATCATTTCTAAACAGCAGCTCTGAATCATAGGCGCCTGTGTATCATTTCTAAACAGCAGCTCTGAGCGCTCTGTGTATCATTTCCCCGAGGGCGCATTGGAGGGGTTCGGCAGAGGGCAGATGGTAGGCTCAGGAGGAAGCAGAAGCAACAGCTTTGTACGTGATAAGGTGCAGCTTTGAGACCCTCCCGTTTCCTTTTGAAGGCTGTGTGTAGTGAGCACGCTGCAGTGCTGGGAAGTTACCGCGCGCGAGAGCGGGAATGCAGACAGCAAAGGCGTCGCTTGGCCGAGATTGCCGTGCAGAGGGAGAAGGCCCGAGGAGGCCTCCATCTACTGCGTGTGCTTTGCCTTTCGGGGTTAACTGAGTACATTTAACCAGTGGTCAGGAGGCAGCTGTCGCCTCCCTCATTGTCTGGGAAGCACATTTGGACTTTGCACGAGAGTACTCGCCGTGTACTTCACCCGCCACGGTGACATGCGCTCAGGGACTGTGCCCTTGCTCATCTGTCCGTGTGGGAGATGAGGCGTCGGGGAGGAGCTATGGACCGCATTCTTCTTTACCAGGTGGTACCTCCCGGGCCATGGACGGGGAGCAGGGGCAGGTGGGGCGGTGAGTGGCGCGAGCTCGTGTCACTGGCGTTGGAGTGGACCACTTGGATATAGACGCCTAACGCATCTTCTGCGCGTCACGCCGCCCCAGGCTCCGGTACCGCTTTGTCAGATTCTTAGTCACCAGGAACTGCCGGATGTTTAGATGGTTTTTAGGTAAGCTTTCATTTCACAGGGAGAAAATAAAAATGTGAAAAAATGTTAGCGTTTGTACCACGGATGTGTTTTTGAAAGGGCTCGGGCTCCAGGGTCACACTCATTAATCGTCTTGAAGCACAGTTTTCCCTCTGCGGCAATGTCGCCGTTGCTTTCCCTCCCCCAACCAGTTTTGATGGCAGCACAGGAAATGTCTGTATAGTGAGTGGGTGCTGAGGCTGCCAGCTCCAGTCTGCTGGAGAGAGCCGCAGGGAGACTGCTGGGGGCGGGGCTCTGACGGATGCCCAGAGCCAGCCAGGAAGTTGGGGCAGACAGCACCACTTCACAGGGGAGGGTTCTGGAGCTGCACACACGGTCCCCCTCTTCTAGGTGTCACCAGGGTTTGAGGGCAAATCACCGATGAGCTCCTGAGCACGTCTCTCTCTGACCATGCAGTGAGTCCCTCAGTCTGAAGAGGCCGATAGGCAGGGGACGATGGGTCAGGGCACAGACACCAGGGTGCCAGAAGGAGAGAGCTCGCATAAGGCTGCCTGTTATCAGGGCCTGGGCATGGTCCTGGCACCAGCGGTAGCTGCAAGCGCAAGGCTGGCCCTGTGCAGGCATGTGCGGAGTCGGCATGCCGCCTTTGCTTTCTCTGGAGACAGAGACAGAGACACCCCCTTCACTTTAAAGAAAAACGGAGAAGGAAAGAAAGGAAAAACCAAAACAACTGCAACTGGTTTGGATAGAAATGAGACAAGATGAATAATGAAGCCTGGGAACTAATGAAGCAATTAAGAGCGGTGCAATTACAGTTTAAAAGAGATAGTTAATAGCTTTGAAAGATTAATAAGACACCCCCCAAAGTCCTGGTTATTATGTTACATAATCTGCTCAGACGTCCGTCCGTGGGATCTCCAGGGGCAATACAACTTGTTCTAGTTACTCTTTTGGTCTCTGCAATTGCAACTCTTTACAGCTCTTTGCCTGTCCGTCAGAGTTGTGTTAACGCTTACACGGGTCCTATAAAAATGGCAGTACACACGGGGCTTCCTGGAGAAAATTTGGCCGAACTGCAGAGCTCCCTCCATTTAAGCT